TGTTACTGTCACTCACATTTCAGCCCCATTCTGTATTCCATGTCACACCAAGTCTTTTCAAAAGCAAAGAGCAAGTTTTTCTCAGCTTCTAATGTCGTAATTCCTAACCTTTACTGATTACGTCGTGTATTACTTTAACATCAGATACTTGAACAAAAGCCTTATGGCTTCTCTGTGGATTGGTGGTCGCTAGGAGTTCTTATGTACTTGATGATGCTGTTTGAGGTATGTAGGAACATTTTATTTCAAAGGACCTATTGAACGTGTCAGCTCGGGTGCGTTAACTTTTGCGTCTGATTGTGACTCCGTTCTCATGAAATTCCTCTCACATGGCACCGGATATAGGTTTAAACTTTCAGATGTGATTGATTTGTTTGGCTGTTTTAGAACGAATTTTTCATTCAATCACAGATACAGCTTTGGAAATGATTTCATAGAGAATAGGCTCGATTTCCGCCCCTCTCTCAGTGCTGTCTAGATTAAAGTTTCCTTCCCGGGAAAAACGGGAGAAGCGCGTGCTCCTTTCCTGAACAGCGGTTGGTTATCAAGCCTACATAAAGAACAGTCCCGTCTATAGCAAACGGGACAAATTAATACGGGTACTAACAGTTCTTGTTCTTGGTAGCTTCCTTTTCCAGGAGGGAATATGTCTGACATATTTGATGCTATTCTTTACGAAGATGTGTTCTATCCTTTGTCCATCTCATTGGAGGCTTTTGAAATTCTCCAAGGGGTAAGAACCTCACGATACGACTTCCTAATGCTTACATAAGTGAACGCTTGTAATGGAAACTGCTAAGGAGTACTGGTCGAGAGATTTAGGACGAAGAAAGCTTGGGTCGGGATAATGACGTGCACGCGAGAAGAAAATTCAACGCCTTCTTGAACTTAGATCTCCCACGGCTAAGCGTCAAACTAGTGGGATTTGGGTAGGAGATTATACCACCTGTATGCGCTCGCATTCTAAGCCTCCGCGGAGATAAAGTTATGCTAAAAGATTTTAAGAGAAAAGGTAGACTATAAGCAGCTTACAAGCAAAGCTTCAATGTGGTGCAGGAAAGAAAGCTATTGATACGATTAATTGAAATTCAGAGACTAGATTTGGTCTGCTTGGCAGCGATTTCGTGAAGGTCCGCCTAGTGTATCCTCGTACCGCCTCGCGTATCATCATGCCGCTTCGTCTGACCTCGTACCGCCTCGTGTATCCTCTTACCGCCTCGCGTATCATCGTACCGCCTCGTGTATCATCGTACCGCCTCG